TCCTAAATTCACTTGCAATGTATGCTACTAATCTTTCTATTCCTTATTTATCTGATTTATTATTTCTGTTTGTATATTTCTTCTCATCATTGGTTTTGTATCATTATTTATTCATCCCCACCAATTTCTAACATTTCCTTCAAATGATACTGTTGATAAATCTATTCTTCTTTCCGTATTTTCCCATGGATCATCTTTATTATATAAAAAGAATAGTATCATTGAGTCGCCCAAGTTATTAAGGCTTTTTTAGTATCTATTTTATAACCTAGATCTAATTTTGTTCCTCTATGAATAATTGGTTTATCATAATTATTATTTAACTCAAATCTATCTTTATATTTATTTCTTATAGGTGGTTGTCTATCTCTTACTCTACCATAGAATTGTTTGTATGATCTATTATATATGGGTGCATAACTTTCTTCTGGATCAAATTGTTGATTAGAGGTTCCTGTTGAGGTAGATACTCCTCCGGTATTCATTAGAATTTGGTGTTCATCTATATTTTCTAAACTTAATTGATCAAAATTTTCTATTAGTAGATCTAGTTCTTCATTCATCTTTACTTTCTCTTAAATTTCTTCTATTTTTCATTTTTCTAGTAAGTTTTTGAAAGTTTCTTCTTCTTCTAATATTTTTGGTAAAATATATTTTCTAAAATTATCATCCATACTTACTGTTTCTATAACTATGTTTTCTTATTATATATGTTTCTTTCTTATTCTTAACATTTCTTTTTCTATAAGTTTTTTTTATCTATTTTCTTGTCTCTGCATTTATTATTTTCTTTTAATTCTCTAATTTCAATTTTTAATATATTTAATTCTTCTTTTATTTCATTCCTTAAATTTTGTACATCAGTTATTAACATTTTTATTAATGTTTTTAATTTTTAGTATATTTAATTCTTCTTTTATTTCATTTATTAAATCTTGTACATTGGTTATTAACATTTTTATTAATGTTTTAAGATCTTCCATATGATTATTCATTACATTTTTTTTGATTGGTTGAAATAATATATTCTACATCCAGTATCTTTACAATATTTTATAATTCTATCATACTTTTGCTTTTTAAGTTCATCATCTGTTAGTCTTTTTAATTTCTCAAAATAATTTGCTATTTCCTTATATTTTTCCTGTTTTAATTTCAATATTTGGTTTCTTTATATTTTATTGATTTTTCAGGAGTTAATAATTCATCTAGTATTTGGTGATTTATTATTTTTATTATTTTTAATTTTTTAGCCAAATTATTTTTCTTATTAATATTTAGGTCTTACTTTTGATTGACTTAGATAAAATAATTTATATTCAATATCTTTTGATTCTATTGATTTCTTGTTAAATAAGAACTTTTCATATTCTGTAGTTGGAAGTCGTGTTAAATTCTTATAATATCTAACTTTTATTTTAGATATTTTTCTTCTTATTGTTCTGGTATTAATCATACATCCTCTATTTGTTGGTTTAATTTATATATTATATTATAATCTTTGTCAAGTTTTTCTTTAAATTTTTCTCTATTAAGCATTATCTTTTCATGAAAATTCATAATTTTCTCTGCAATAGAGCATTATTTCTTCTTTTTCAAATTCCTTAATAATTTTATCATACATATATTCATCTATTATGTATCATATTGTTAATTTATTTAATATTTGTTCTCTTATCTCTCTGGGTAATTCTTTAATTATAATTAATGTTGTTATTTTTAATTATTTAGAACATAGTTCTATTATATATTCTCTTTCACTATCTTTTATCATATAATACCAGTTTGTTTTGATAATTGTAATTTTCATATTTTCAATCATACCTATTTATTTCTTTTACAATTAAATCATACATATGTTTTTCATAGGTTTCTAATATCATTTCATAAGTGTACATATCTTTAACAATTTCTAATCTTATTTTTTAATTATAAATTGTTTTATCTCTATAGGTAATTTTTCAAGTATTTTTAATGTAATTGATACACTTTTATTACATAATATTGGTTTTACAATAATTATGTTAAATTTCTCAATTATTATTTTAATGATTTTTCTTTTAGTAATAGTATTTTTATGATTTTTATAGATCCTATAGATCTTATGGCTCTGATACCAAATTTAGGGGTGCTATTGTGAGCGAACAAAAATCTTATTATCTTATAAAATCTTAAAATAATTTACCATGTGTTAAGTAAATCTTCAAAATCTAATAATATTTGAGAATTTATAATTTCAAGATCTGTTATTATATCTATATTTGGATTAAAAGGTATATCGTATTTTAAAATTTTCTTTTTTCTTTTTTCCAATTTGTCAATAATATTTTGTCATTTATTATTATAGATCTTACTATTCCTTTAACAAAATTTTCCATCATATTTTCTTTAAAATATTTTTTGAGATGCATTTAATTGTTCTTGATATTCAATTTTATCAAATTCATTTTCAAATTCAATATCTTTTTTCCAGAAGTCGAACCATATCACAAGATCATTTATTGTGGTACCTCAGCGTCGTAACTTGTATATGGATTTTGCATAACTACATATAAAGCTTACGATATCAGATTTCTTGTAATCTTGAACTGGTTTGTTTCCATCAGGCTACTGCTGCTATAAATGCCAATTTGGAACATGGATTAGGAAATCCATGATGTTGTGAACTTGTATTCTATACTTGTGCTCTAGAAATGTATAATTTTTTTTGTTTATTTATGGTTTTGTTCTAGTTTTATGCTAATTTTTTTTATGGTATTTGTTTCTTGTGTCAATGCTGAAAAGAGAGTTGAAAATTGAAGATTTGTACTTTGTATCCTTTGGACCACACCGTATAAGAGTTTAAGCTATATAAGATACAATAGAAACTCTAAGAAAATTTCCACCACCTAATTGCTCGTCATCGCCATCTCCAATTTTCAATTCAATTTCTAAAACTGAACAAAAAGGTGAAAATGATTGGCAATCTTTTGACAATTATTTCATCCATCGCAACTTGCAACTCTTTCCACATCTCAATAATCCTTCACCTACAAAATTTCAAACTATGCTTTCGTCGGCATTACTGGGGTGGGGTAGGGGAGCTTTTGGCCGATGGCGCTGCTGTATTTTTGTGTTTGGTTTTGGGGTGGGGAGGTTTCGGGTTTGGTTTTTGATTTTTTGTTTTATTTTAATTCAAAGTTACCATTTATCCATTTTAAAATGCGTCAAAATCAATTTTTTGAGTCAATTAACAGTCAAAGTAACTATTTCTATCCATTAGGACTTAATGTGCGAATTTTTGAAAGGTTTAGTACTGTCACGAAAAGGTATTGCTATCTATTGACGTAGTTTCAATTAACAGTCAAAGTAACTGTTTGTGAAATCTGCGGTATTGCTATCTACTGACGTAGTTTCAATTTTGTTCTCTTCGGTAATGGAATTTTTGACGTTGTCCGTGCTACAGGTATATGAATTCAAATTTCTGTACAAGACAGAATACACACATCAGTGGGTGGGGTGGGTGCGGTGAGGGGTGTGGCCAATATTTTAATTACATGGGGCCCACTCCCATGTGAGTGAAATTCAAAATTCTGTATCAATTCTATTTTTTCCCATACTCACATCATTTAAGTAGATACTTGAGATTCAGAGCTCTAAAGATGGACAATAGATATCCACATGAATTTTCTTATCAACTCCCCAGTAAGAATGGAGTAATGAGTAAGTGGGAGTGTCAATAACTCCCTTTTCTTTGGATGGGAAATTTAATTGCAATTGAAATACTGGGAGTTGTCAAGAATTCAATATTGTATTTGTACCACAATGAATTGAAAATCCCTATGTTGTCAAAAAAATAATATTGGTCGAAGTAAATATATTGACCAAATTTTTTTTACAAAATCTCCAAGAATTTTCTAACAAATATCTACA